ATGTTTCAGTAGCCATCCAAATCGTTTAGCACCTATAATGCTTAAGGGTACATGCTGGCCTAATCATATGCCTTATGCACTTTCGTACGAAAACTAAACACTTGGACAGGGTTGAACAGTATATAATTCCTTCAAATGAAACGGGGCGATCTACAAATGGCTTTAGCATAAACCCCAAAAGTGTTTTTGCCGGAGCAATAGAGGCCTTAACGCAGTAAATGACATTCAAGGTAATGGGATGTGAAAAATTTGAAGGCTTGGTGCACACGGACCCCTTAGATAACATCAAACCAACGCTACACATGAGATTGCTGTGAGCCCCAGCATGTGGTCCTGAACCACGCCGGGGCCACGGAATTAACCCTGGCCCGATTACCCTTGCCTGATACCCGCGATGGAGAAAACGATCGGAGAGGACGTGGACACAACCGTTTACTTCAGAGCTCAACCTTGTTGGTGTCATTGTGTCGTGTGTATTTATGCCTCGGATGTGTGAGTCATACATGCACTAACATCGAGACCTAGGTTTGGGGATACTCCAAGGTAAATATCCGTGTAAATGAGGGGGGAGTGTAGAGAAAAGGGGAACCCTGTGTCGGAGGTGGAGCGACCGGATTAAGGGGTGTGAATAAACACGATTCACAACAACCTCTTGCGTGATTGGCGTGAGTTCCTTTAATTTGTTTAAATCAGCGCATTGTTACCCGTTAACGTGACTACGCGTTATGTTTGGTCGTCACGCACATTGAAAGCTTGTGCTAACGCAGTCTGGCAATGCATCTCGAGTCATCCGAGAGGGTGGTTATCGTGTGGTTTTCTATTGTGGGTTTAGTTCCTTTGCAAATAACCCCGTGTTAAGTCGCAACTTGTGTATTTTACATCCTCGCGAACCCACAGATGGGCAGTTGATTGCAATCGGCAGCAGAGACAACTACATCTACGTGTACAACGTGATGGTCAGGGGCACCAAGTACACGCGACTGGGCAAGTGTTCGGGCCACTCCAGCTTCGTTCTCCACTTGGATTGGTCCGAGGACAGCCAATACCTGCGCTCCACCTCTGGCGACCACGAACTCCTCTATTGGTCAGCGGCTAACTGTCGACAAGTGGGTGTTTGCGTGCTCTTATCAATTTTTCCCTCATTTTTGTACTCTTCTTACGCTCTCAGTGCATTTTCCTGGCAGTAAATCACCCATAAAACTGCATTGTCATATTATGGGCCTCATTGCAACACCTGTGCTACTGAAATCTGTTCAAAGTAGTCAGTTTGTGCGTGTTTTGTAGGTTACTTCGGCGAGCAGCATGCGCGACGTGCGCTGGGCCAGTCAGCGCTGCCACCTCGGCTTCCAAGTGGTGGGCATTTGGCCGCCGGAGTCGGACGGCTCGGACGTGAACGCCGTGGCGCGCAGCCACTCGACGCGCCTTCTGGCCACGGCCGACGACTTCGGACAGGTCAACCTCTTCCGCTACCCCACTTGCCAGCTCAAGGTACTCACGCTCGCACTTTTACTTCACTCGCTATGGCTTGTTTTACTGGGATTGTTAGTGTAACTCGACTGCTGACGTCAGTTTCCAAGGCGTTAATTTGACATCATTTCGAGCGTCAGCTGCGAAATCGGCGTGGTTCCCAGTTTGTTCACTTCAATCACTGCCTCGCTCTGAATGTCTTCTCGTGGTGATGGATTAGCGCACACAGAACTACCGATAGTCACCTGCCGTGAATCTGTCAACGATGATGCCTCGGTGTCCGTCACTGATGAGAGTCGATCCGTTGGTTCGTAAGGAAATTGCCACTCAAACAACCTTTCTCTGTGTTGGCTGCAAAGTGGATTGTGTTGGCGCAAACAGCGTGTAGCTTAATCGTACAATACGCACCTAATATATGGGACTTACTAGAAGATATGCATGTTTAACGACAAACAAGTTCTAACTCGTGATATAAATCTGATTCGGTCTGACGCAAGCATTGCCTAGAGGCTGGGATTATCGATGAAGAAAGAAGGAGAGGGAAATTGGCAGATATAGTCGGGGTAGCAGGTAGCTCGTCCCCATTTCCGTCTACCACTAGTCGCAGTCTGTTGGGACTTGGAGAGATTGCATTCACTGCACACATTGTGGACTGATTGTGGTCGATGTTTCTGCTTCCGTTTCTAGAGCAATCCACGATCGTATGGAGGCCATTCTAGCCACGTGACGAACGTCGACTTCCTCTTCGACGATTCTCGCCTCATTTCAGCCGGAGGCGCGGATACGGCCATTCTGCAGTGGGAAGTAATCACCTAGGCCTCGCCACTGTCTTCTTTTTCCTCCCCCTCTCCAACCACTCCGGACATTCATTCGAGTTCAACCAACACCACCCTGTATTATTGGCTGTGACGCATTCACCTCATCCTCTCCCACTCTTTCTTCAACTTCATCAACGCCGTGTGGGCGTGTGTTTGCACAACGGTGTCTGTTTAACTAACTTGCAGCTTGTTTTTGGGACGTGATGCCGCGATGGTCTTGTGCATAATTTAACGCATACAGGGGTGCGTCCTAAATCAGCTAGATGGAATGACATCCGTGGAAGCGTTGTCAAAAAGGCAATAGGCTTGCAAGAGGACCACGAAAACTCACCAGTTGGATGCTGGACCCTCTTAGCAATAGGAGAGCGCCATGGGACAGGCGACTGCTCGTGATACGTT